CTCATAAAGTTAGGGCCCGCACCCTCTGGCTCAGGGCTCTCTGTGTACCTCGTGCGATGCTCACCTGCTGACCAAGAGGGCGAGCCTTGGTCTGTCTCCAAGGTCAAGCGAACGCCTGACAGCCGCGTGAAGGCTGGAGGCGCCCTACTGAGATTGCAGTTGCAGCCCCGATTCTCAGCCAAGTGAGTGAAATGCCTGGGCAGTCCCGGCCCCGGGACAGGGCTGGTCAGAGGCGTCAGGCTGGAGTCCAGGGAGGCCTGGCAGCTGGCAGAGGGCATGGAGGCACCAATGGGGTCAAGCTCGGAGAGACAGCTAAGACCTTGACTTTGGGCTGTTTGCTCTCGGCCTGTTTCCCACCCCTGCCGAGTGAGCGTGGGGGCAGCCCAAGGTTCCTGGCCCCAGAGTGAGGGTGGTGGGCGGCCTGCAGGTGGGGACAACAGGATGGCCACCCAATGGACAGCCACATGTCTGGTCCTCTCACTATGCCGTTTTCCCCTGACTACAAAGGTATCTTGTGTTCACAATAAAAAAAAAAAAAATTGAAGACTACCAAAAACCCACACACCAGCGATGCTCTCTTCACTGTAAAAAAGACAAAGTTAAAAGGCAAATGCCCTGTCTCCCCTCCCCCACACGCCCAGAAGTCGTCTATGGTGACAGTTTGACAGCGTTTGTTCAGACTCCTCTCTCTCTTTCTCTTCCCTTTGGCGGGAAAGTGCAGTGATTTTTCCCTGAAGGGAAACAAAAACTCCGTCACTGCTGTCACTGACAACATAAATGTCCATAATCCCGTTTAATATGTTGGTGACGAGGTGATCTGTCTGGGAAGTGTCCTGGCCCTGTCCTCTCTGACTCCTCTACCTCCCCCTCCTCCGGCACCTTCACCGCCTCCCCACGAGGGAGACTGGAGGCCGCGCTGCCCGCCGCCCGCCCGCCACACCGCCCTGGTAGGTGGCTGGACTCCACATTCCACCAGTAGAACGTCAGACCGTTAGTGGAAAACTGCATTTTCCCGGAAAACACAACTCTCCCTCCTGGGAACTGTGAATCCTTCAAGTGTGTGGAAGGGAAAGGAGTTGGAAATTTCTGAGGACAGGATTTGGTTGTTTGTGTGTTTTTTTAATATTTATGGGTGTGTGTTTTTCCTGATTACAAAAATAACACATTTGTTGTAGAAAATGTAGAAAAAGAGCTTAAATAAGAAAACAAAATTTGCTCATAAAATATCACTCAGCGATAACCTCCCCTCACATTTTTACATGAAAATCTTCTAGTCTTTTTCCTATGTAAGTGATATATGTGTAGGTGAATGCACACAAACGTATTCACATACACACACACAAATAATACCAAACTGGCACTTTCCTTTACTACTATACCGCGTCACTAAATATTCTTTGGTCACATGACTCTAAATGCATACGTGCAGGCTATCATAGAAATACAGCAAATATGGGTAACTGACACGTTACCCACAGCTGACATGTAGCTGGTTCTGACCTTTGGCCAATGCTGCAGTGACCACCTTGTGGAGAAACGCTGTGTGCAGTTTTAGGGGTTTTTTGAAGATTTTAAAATTAAGTTTTAGAGAGAGAGGAAGGGAGAGGGAGAGAGAAACATTCATGTGAGAGTGGAACATCGCTCGGCTGCCTCCTGCATGCCTCCTACCCGGGATCTTGCCTGCAACCCAAGCATGTGCCCTGACCAGGAATCCAACCGGCAACCTTTCAGTGCCTGGACCACACCCCACCGAGCCACGTGGGCCAGGGCGTGTGCAGTTTTAATCACAGGATTGGGGAGCACACACAGAGGTGCCAGAGCCTGGAGGCAGGGGTCATTGAGAAGAGGGTGTCTCCCCAGTGAAACCTGCAGCACGCGGAGACCGGGGACACCACAACCTTCCCAGATTGCACAGCGTGGCCTGTGGCTGGCCCTGCTGAGTGGCACATGAGACGTGACAGGCAGGTGCTGTTTGCCGGCCAGATGACTGCTTCAGTGTTGTCCTCCCTCTATAAAAATAGCTCACATTCTGCAATAGACTGGCACTGCTCTCTCCCAGGGCAAGCCACACCCACAGCCCCTGGAGGCACAACTGGCCCTGCTGGGCATAGGAGCCCACGCCCTGGCCGCAACTGCCCCGGCCAAGGTTTGGCCTGACACTTACCAGTTGGCTAGCTGTGCAGAGGGGCCTGGAGGAGGGGTGGCCCAGCCTAGACTCTGCCCTGTGGGGGCCTTGGTGTTGAACAGTGGCTCGTCCAGCCAGCTCTCTCCCTCCGGACGCGTGAGGAGCAGAGGACCACTGATGGGCAGCAGGCGAGGATTGCATGAGGCGACGGCAGCGAGCAGGAGCCAGGAGGCAGCAGAAGACACGAGCGGGTTGGTGTGAGGGTCAGGCCTCCAGCAGGAGGGTCCAGCGTGCGGGGGGGCTGTTCCCTGCCTGATGAGACCCCGCCAGGCTCCCCCGCTCCCTGCACAGCCTCGCCGTGAAGCCTCGCCGCTGGAAGTGACCCAGCGGGTCGGGGTTCCCCGAGGCCTGCAGAGCCTCACTGCACATGTGGAGCGTGCTTTAGTCACACGGTGCTCTCCCAGGCTGTCTCGCATGCAACCCCGGGGCGGAGAGAGGCTCATTCCCCCTGCACAGAGGGGGCACTGCTGTTTAGAGGGGATATGAGTGCGCTGGCAGGTCAGGCCCATGGGCAGAAACTCAGAGCCAAGTTTGTGGGCCCCACACGCAGGCTGTTCTCATCACCCCCAGGGCCTCCCTCCCTCTGAGCTGCAGCACCGGCCACCAGCCCTCCCTGTCTGCAGGGGAGGCAGGCTTCCTGTGTTTCCACTCATCCACTCAATTTGATGTTGTAATTAATGCATGAGGACTGGGCTTGCAGGGTTTCTTGTCCATAGTGCCGGGCAGGTGTGAGCAGACAGTAGGTGCTCAGTAAATACTGATGGTCCCAAATGCAGTTTTTCAAAATTCAGAGGCCCACGTCCCACCGGAGAGGACAGAATAGGCCTCCTGGCAACTTTGCAAACTTTCTCTGGGAGTCCGGTCACATTCCAGTTTGTAAATCAGGTAGAAAGGGTGCCGATTCAGCTGCTTCCACTCTCAAAAACCCAGCCATGAACCAGGAAATAAGCAAAAACATGCAAGTGAGCAACCCAACTGAATCTCATGCGAGCCATGTGCAAGAGCTAACGCCTGTTTGTCAAAGACACAGCCCTGCTCTGCACCTAGAAACCCTGCTTCACACAGAACTCTAACGAGGCGGGTCCCTCGGCTTCTCAGCCCACAGGGTGTTGGAAGCAGGCATGGGAACAGCTGTGAGGACCTGCAAGCTGAAGGTCTGAGAATTAGGATTTTAGAATACAGTAAGTCCTCAACATCGGCAAGAGGTTTTGCGACTTTGAATGAAACGGCATATAACAAAACCAATACTACCATAGGCCAATTGATATACTCCAGCGTTACGTTCCTACGGCATCTCATTATAACAAAACGGCATTGAGTGAGAAATGACGTGCTATTCGAGGACCTGCTATGGTTACACACATCAGTAATCATAACAGCGGCCTGACTTGCCAAGAAAAGCCTACAGTATGTGCGCCAGGAGGATGTACGATCCACTTTAGAAAGGGTTTCTGAAGAAAACGGGTCTGGGTGTTTAAGAGGAGAGCTCCGCTACCCCGAAAACTCCCCAGGCGCTAAAAAGGAGCTCAGCGCCCACCAATCCCCACCACCACCACCACCCCGCCCCCGGCTCTTGCCTGAGAATGTTGTGTAGTAAGTAGTTAACAGCATGAACTCCTGGACCCAGGCTCATCCAGTTCAAATCCTGGCTCTGTCTCTTCTGAGCTGTGTGACCTTGGGCAAGTCACTTAACCTCTCTGTCCGTGTTTCTTCATCTGTCAAATGAGGATAACAGTCGCACCCACCCCCGGATGAGGTACACAGAGCGCTCTTGTATAGGAGAGTGGCGATAGCAGGGATTGGGTCTCATTCAACTCTGTCTCCAGCTGTCCCCTAGCCCCTCACTCCTAAAAGTGGGGTCCAACAGCAACTGGGAGCTTGTCAGGAATGCAGAGAATCACCCCAGGGCTATTAACGCCAAACCAGCACCTGAAGAGTTTGTGTGTGCATTAGAGTGTGAGAAGCTCTCCAGGAGTACTGCCGGGTGGGCGGGATGAGGCAGCATTGTGCACACCGGTCCCAGGGCGTCAGGACAGAGGACGGGGTCAGGGCAGCTCCCCAGGAAAGGAGAGGAACTTGGAACCCAGGAGAGACGGAGTGTGGGAGGCTGGGCACTGAGAGGACTTGGTTTGGGCACTTTCCCAGTCTCATGTGTGACTGGAGGGGCTAATGCCCACCTCCCAGGGTTGTGACCAGGGTGAGCGATAGGACCTAAAGCGCCCGCACAGGGCGGGCCACAGGCCTCCATCCTGCGGGCTCCCAGCCCCCCAGCCCTTGCCTGTAGCCCTGGGTGAGACACACAGTTTCGGGCCCATGTGGGCTCAGAGCTTTCTGTTCCATTGGAACAGTCACACGCTGCACGTGCTGACGGAACAGAACGCCCGGCAGGGCCCGGCAGCCCCCTAATTAAACGCAGCAAAGTTTCTGCGGCGAAACGTATGAGCAGCATGAGACATAATAAAGACTTTCAATAACCTTACGTCAGGGCAGACGAGGTTTGTGGCCAAATCAGTTGATATCAAGCTTATTTTTAAAAGTCTGGTTTTCAGAGCGTTTGGAGTTCAGAATTACAGACAAGGGAACGTGAACCGGACGACAGAGGAGGAGTGGCAGCCCCGGGGAGACCGTGCCAGCTGGGAGGGGGTGCCGGGGAGCGCTGAGCGGCTGTTGTCTGCAGGGCATGTCCACACGGGGGAGGAGAGGGCAGAAAGCGAGCCATCAGAGGCCTTGGAGACCGAGGGGCCCTGACACAGGCAGCAGGAAGTCGCCAAGGTTACGGCCTGAGCAGGAGTGTGACCTAATCAACGACAGAGGGACAGCGGGGTCAGGCTTGCAAACAGGAAGAGGAAACCCTGGAGTTACCCTTGGCCCCACTCCAATTCCCAGCCTGAAGGGAGCGTGGACTCACCTCCCACCCACCACCCTCCGCCCCCACCAAAGACACACAGGAAAAGGCTTTGTTATTCTATTGGCTTGTCTGTGACAGCCTGCAGTCTGATCAATGACAGGCACATGGTAACGATCAGAACATACACAACAAATAAACATCTAGTTTTACTGCGTAGGGGGTGCCATGAACATGTCTGTAGCTCTTACAGTACCTATAAGGAATGAATTATTGTTCCCTTTTACAGAGGAGGACACTGAGGTCTCCGAAGAAAGTCCAGGTCACATGGTGGAATCATCGAAAGCTGGTGTCAGGGTAGCTTCCGTTAAAGCACACACTTGGCAAGAGCTCTCTCAGGACACGGAGGCCAAGGTGGGAACGGGCCACGTGGAGGGCTGAGACCGAGAGGTGCCGGCCGCCTCAGACAGCCCTGCTTCAAACTTGGGCTCTGCCCTCAGCCTTTCTGAGTCCTTACTATGTTTTGGGTGTATTTCTGATAAACCCCAGAGACCTGGGATTTGTCCTCTATCCATTCTGACAATTTCTATCTTTTAACAAGAACATTTAGTCCATTTATATTTAGTGTAATTATGAGTATATTTGGGGTGAATTCTTTCTATTGGTTGCATCAGTTCTATGTTCCTTTTTCTCTCCTATCTTCCCCCTTCTTTTGAGTTTATTGTTATTATTATTGTTGTTGCTTTATTATGTTTTTACCATTGCATTTTTCTATTAGTTTTGAGGTTATTCACCTTTCTCTGTTTGGACCTGCCCTCAATATTTTGAGAGTTAAGTTAAAAAAAACCAGCATATATATACTGGAGGCCCGATGCACGAAATCCATGCAAAAGTAGGTCTTCCTTCCCCTGGCTGCCAGCACCGGCTTCCCTCTGGCACTCGGGACCCAGGCTTTGCTCCAACCCAGCTTCATCTGGAAGGATGTCTGGAATGACATCCGGTCTAATTAGCATATTACCCTTTTAGTATTATATATGTTATGAAAGTGTTTTGTACCACTAGTCCAATAGCTGGAGATGATCTTATAAAACCTAGAGCTTTGGAGTTAGCCTGGAGGGAGCCCTGGTTCTAGTGCTTCCTAGCTGTGTGCTCCTTCCTACACACTTTCCCAAGTCTCAGTTTCCCCGTCAGTAAAGTGTGGGAGATGGGATGCCAAGTGCCCTGGCCAGGGCTTGGCACAGAAAAGGGGCTCAATGAATGTGTGTTCCCTCGCCTCTCTGCCTTTGGCTCTCTGCTTCCCAGAAGGATCGGCCTGAATGGAGGCTGCTCAAGAGCCCACTGCACAGCTGGGCCTGACCGTAGTAAACCTTCCCAGGAGGAAGCCCTCTGGAATGAGATGTCCCCAGGGAACGGAAGTCTGTAGGATCCTTGGTGGACAGTCTGCCCTCAGTTTGGGAAGTGGGAAATTATTGGGAAATGATGCTAAAATAGGGGAGGGAAATGGTTTGCATTGATCAGTGTCCCAGAGGAGCCCAGGGCAGGGGGAGGGTTCCCCAGTGTGTGTGTCCCAGCCCTGCAAGGGAAGGGGGCCTGCCCAGAGAGCGGCAGCCCCCCATTCCTGGGAGGCAGGTGTGTCCTTTGGAGAGCAGCGCAGTGACTCACCAGGCTGCCCCCGCTCATTATAAATACCCTGAGACACCTAACTCCCTCGGCCCTGATTCTATATTAGCACACACGGCGCCCATAATTCCATAATTGATTGGGTTTCCTAGGCACCTCGACACTGGGAGAGGGTGTCCCAACCTGTGGACACAAATATTACCAACTACATGGCAAGGCCTCCCTGCCCCCACTGTGAATCCTCAAATAAGTTCTCTTTCTCTTACCTATTTACTTATTTACAAATCAGAATTAGGTGAATTTTGAGAAGGGAGGGCTAGCCAATGTCCCCTTTTTGAATAATTCTAAATTGTCCTAGTGGAGCCAGTAACTCAAACCAAGTCCCATCTCATTTTCTTACCCCGTGTGGGGAAACTGAGCCCAGGGAGGAGGGATACAAGCACCCAGACCTCAGAATGAGACAGGGTGCCTGGGTAGGGACGCAGGGCTCAGGCCTCTCTCTTGCTCCAACTCTCAGAGTCTCGGTTCCCTCACCTGTGGACAGAGGTGTAGTACTTGCTGTGAAGACCAGCGAAAGCACGAATGCAAGACAGCGGGGCAGGGGCAGGGGCTGGTGTAGTGGGAGCCCAGTGCATGGTGGGGCTCAGAAGGATGGGGTCCCTCCATTTGTTTTCTCTCCCCAGACAATACCTTTCTCTGCTTCCTTCCATGACCTCTGGCAGTAAATAAGTGCAAGTCTTGATAACATGATTAGAAATTAATTTTACCAGCGGCAACTCTAGGCTTTACTGATCTTAGACAGCGTTTATTGAACACCTACTATGTGCTAGGCACTATTCGTCATGCGTGACCTCTTTTAATCCTTCAAATCTGAACTGTCCAGTAGTGTAGCCACTAGCCCTATGCTGCTATTGAGCATTTGAAAGCGGTCAGTGCCACTGAGGACCTGCATTTTTAATTTAATATTAAAATTTATACTCAATTCAGTTATTAGAAAACTTTTAATTATGTTTAAAACAACTTGAGTATGGGAATCTATTGTTTCAACTGTAAGTTTTGTGAAAATCTAACTTCAGATCAAGAATTTCCAATGGGGGGGATAATTTCCAATGATTAAAAAATAATAATTTCCATTGAAAATTTAGTGTTCAAATTGAGATGTGCTGTCAGTAAAGTCCACACTGATTTCAAAGACAGTATAAAAAAGTGTAAATTCCCTGGCCACGTGGCTCAGTTGGCTGGAGTGTCATTTATACACCAAAAGGTTTTGGGCACATACCTAGGTTTCAGGTTCTATTCCTGACTGAGTACGGAGGCAGCTGATCAATATTTCTTTCTCTACCCCCCCCCCCGCCTGCCACAACGTGTGACTCTAAAAATCAATGAAAAGATATCCTTGAGTGAGGATTAAAAACATTTTTAAAAATATATATATATTATTGATTTTTAACAGAGAGGAAGGGAGAGGGATAGAGAGTCAGAAACC